TACGCAGGACTCTGACTGTTCTGGCCTTTCCCATTGCGGAGCACAGGCTCCGGATACGCAGGCTTAGCGGCCATGGCTCACGGGCCCAGCCGTTCCGCGGCATGTGGGATCTTCCCGGACCGGGGCACACACCCGTGTCCTCTGCATCGGCAGGCGGACTCTCAACCACTGCGCCACCAGGGAAGCCCCACTCAGATGGCTTTTACGGGTACTTAGTAAAAATGGATTTCACATCACCTTCAACATTAATGAATAAAGCTGCACTGCTGTGGCCTCTCCCGTTGCGGAGCAGACACGCAGGCTCAACTGCCATGGCTCACGGGCCCATCCGCTCCACGGCATGTGGGATCCTCCCGGACCGGGGCACAAACCCGTGTCCCCTGCATCGGCAGGCGGACTCTCAACCACTGCGCCACCAGGGAAGCCCTGTTTCCATTTCTTAATTCTCTACTCAGTGATCTTCCATTTCCATTCTTAGTTCTGCCTTTCTTAGCACTTCTCCTTTTCTGATTTGCCCCCCATTCTCTCCCTTTTCCCATATTTGTGCTATTCTCGCTTGTCCAATCTTATTGAACTGAGTTAATTAAAATGCTTGTGTGATATAACTCATTTTTTTTATTAATTAGATATTGCAAAACAAAATTTGCTATTCATAGAAGTAAACACATGTTAAACAGAAAATTCAGAAAAAAATGCACCTCTATAATCCTAATATTCAGAGAGAACAACATGTTTCTTTTTTTAAACTGGTGTACTTTCGCATTCTTTGAGATAAAGAAATCCACTTTCTGAATAAGAGAGCACACAAATGTAAAGGCCTTTAGTGCACGGTGCTCATTTGCTCTGCAGGCAGGTTTTTCCATTTGTGTGCTCATCTCAGCTGTGCACAGACCTGCTTTACCACTCCCTTGCTACAGTTTTCTTTTCTCTTGCCAGTTTTCTTTTTCCTGAAGTGAACTGAAACTGGGGAAAAAGTTATATCAGTATCTCAAATTGTGTTTCTTTGGTTATCATGAAAAAACCATTTGTGTAGACTTGGGTCATCTGTATACTTGTTTGTGAATTTTGTTTTCCAGTCTTTTGCTTGGTCTTTGCTTTGTTTGAATTTGATTGATTAAGAAAAAAAAACAGTGTGTGCGTCTAGAACTCTTGTCTTTCATTTTATTCTCCTGGAATGCTAGCCCTCCTAATAATCCCCTTCCAACTTTATCTTTCTTTATTCTTTTCTTTGTTGATCAATCTTCCAGAATTTCTTTTAATCATCTTTACGCCTGGTGTTTCATCCTTCTGAACCCAATTGCTTTGGACAGTTGAGAATCCACCAGTGAAGTGAGAAGAGTGCAGGGAATAGCTGCTTTCACCTCATTTCCCCATTTTCACCTTTAGCCCCTGTTCTGCAGCTTGCTTTCTGTCTAAGTCTATATATTCCATCTATCCCTCTGGTTGCATCTATATTTGTACATATGCATGTGCATACATGTGTACGCATTGTCAAATATACACACACCCCATCTACACACATACACCATAACCCATCTGTATGGTGTGTGTGTGTATATACACACGTATAGGTAGGTATATTTATGTACGTATGGTAATGGGCTGGGGAGTTAGCTGGCTCAGATTATATGATTCAGGGTGTGACTCACATGTTTATTTTCTCCCCCCTCCATCTCCCATGAATGTGACAGGAATGAACACAACAGAAGAGCCCTCTACTCTGCCTGCAGGTGATCCCTTACCTGCTCACACCACTGCATTCTCACTTGCAAGCATCTCTGAACGAGAAAATGACTCCTCAGAGACCACGCCTACTCCTAGCCCAGAAAGTACCACCACGGAAGCATCCCTGAACTCTTGGGATAATGATAGTTCTCTTGCTGTGACAGGTTGGCAGCGATCTTAACTGAGATGGGATTAGGGAAAAACTTGTCTCTCTTTGTTTTTACTTTTTAAATTTTAAAGTTATCAGAACAGTTTAAATTATGTTCAGTTTCTATGTGTGAGATTTTACTAAAGTGTGTAAAACGTAGAACATCTAGGTGTTCATGAAATATTGGCCGGCGAAAGTAATGAAGCCTGTTGTTAGGGAGACGGGGAGGGAGGGAAGTCCCCCTAAGTAAAATCAGGGTGTGTTAACGGGGGACAGCGGCAGTTCTCAGTGTCCTCTGATCCCCACATGCTGCATCATTTTCCTGGTTCCTGCTCACCTAAGTTTTCTGTAGCCCTGGGGAGGTCAGAATGTCCTCTTTCAGGTCTTTGTTGGTCTCACACTCCCCGGCTCAAAGTAGAATTTTTCTTGGTTCAATCCCAGATCCTCAATATCAGAAAATTATTGGAGACAGACAATTTATTATTTTTTTAAAAACCCACACTGAGGATTAATAATTCAGCTTTGCTATTTGGATTTCTTCAAGGGATATTTGCACTGTTTTTTTTTTTTAAAGTATTTAATTAGGGTTGTGAGTCCCAGTGGTAGAATTTAAGATGATGTGGTCCTATTCGTAGCAAAATATCAGAGTGACATGGGAGGTATTTCTGCTGGGGAAAACCTCTGATGCTCCTAAAATCCAGGGACACCATTGATCCACTCGTTCTCTGTTTAATGTTAGGTCCACAAATGTATCTGGTACATAAACTGACCATCCTGAGATTTGTTCCTACCTTTTCCTAAATAATGTGCTGTGTGCCACTTTCTGAGGCAAACTGGTTAATAGACATGTTCTGTTTAAAAAGACTAAGATATTTGTTCAATAAGGTCATCAATCTTAGCTTGAAACACAAGCACAGTTAACACCATCACATTCCTGGGTGATGGGTACACGCAGTGTTTTGAGTACCATCTGGATGAAGTTTATTGGCTGTGGTAAGTGGTTGAATAAATGTTCAGAGCCCTTTATATCAATTACAGTAATGTATATTTAATCTTTATCCCATTTTCCCTGCTACCATAGGGCAGCGGAGGTGGCTGGGACCTATCTAAACATTGCAAGTGTTGGAATTCCTTTTAACAAAAGGAATGTGAGGATGAGGAAACTGATGGCTACATAGAACTTTTCATGCTAAGCTTTTTTATTGACTGAATAACATCACACAGAGTTTTCTATTTCAAAGCTTCCACATTTCACCTCACATGCACAAATACACACATACAACGTTCCTACCTTTTTATTTCCCCCATTTTTTTCCCCCTGAAAACGTTAAAGCCAGAGAGTTACATATGAAGAAAAGTGCGAGAAAAAAAGGTTTAAAATGAAATAGATTGGACATATGGATGAATTATTTAAAAATACTAACTTGCTCTGGCTCAATAATACTAGTGATAAAATTAGCTTGGAAAATTTCTTATGCTTTCAAACAATACAGCACATTTTCTTTTCTGGAAAATAATCGGTGATATTTCAATTCTCTACTGGGATAAAACCTATAGGTGTTATTTATTTTATGTTTATGATTGATTTGTACTGTGGAATGGAATGTAATCAAATTTTTCTTGCTTACTAATATATGAAGGGGAAAATTATGCCTCAATCCATTTTTGTAACAGTATATTATACACCATTTCAAAAATTAAAAAATAATTATTACAATAAACATTCACATGCATAACACTAAATTTAATTTTGTAATATTATCTTTATACAATTAATGTATGCATGTTGCAAAACAGCATTATAGAAGCATTACACACACACACACACACACACAATGAAAATACACTCTCCCCAAACGCTGTTCCTTAAAAAGTTGTCTATCTTCCAGACTCTCAGCATATAATTCTGTGAGTGTGTGTGTTTCCTCATATCACTTCTGATACTAGCTATTATCAATCTTTTAAAACTCTGTCAGTATGATAAACATTTTTCATTTTGATTTATGCTTTGATTTACATTAATCTTTTTTTCATAATAATGAGCATCCTTGCATATACTATTTGACCATTGTCTCTTACATCTCTCGCACATTTTTCTGATCTTTTCCTCGTGTAAGAGATTCTTGTATATTGGGGGATTCTTTGCTTATTCTGCCTACAAAGAAATGTCCTCATTTTCAGTTGTGGAGTTGATGGAGAATTCCAAAAGCTCATAGTGACCTGAAAGTCACAAAAGCCACCTGGAAACATGAGCCACCTATGGCTGCATCAACCCAGACAGGCTCCGAGATGTGTAAACGAGCACGCGGGTGCTACCCTTCTGGCAGGTGAACTTAAAGACGAGCAGACTTGCACTTGAACAGACTGGGCCATTTCACAGTTTGGTAAACTATAATAACAGTTTGCTCCTTATAACTTCCTGGTATTTAAAACTTTCGCCTGCCATGGGGAGATATTGATACAATGATCTTGCTTTCCTACCTTAGAGGTTAACCAGCCCAGACGCCTCACCTGCCATCTCCCGCAGACCCATGGGTGCCTCTCTGCACTCACCCCAGCTCTGCAAGGAATGTCAAGTCCAGTTTGTGGGTCCTTCAGACTTGTGCAAATACAAAGAGCACATGGACACCGTCTAAGTACGGAGTGAGGGACTCCAACCACTGTTCCACCTGTAGCATTTGCTGGTGGATGGATTTGGAATTTCAAACTTTCATAGTCACCCCTCTTCCAAGAGGGCACCTAACAAAGGTCCTTGTAATAGTGATGAATTGATAAAGAATGAGAATTATGAGAATACAGGAAAGACCTGTTCAGTGGGTTAGTCAGGGCTTTATATGTTTGTTTATATTTTAGGCAAGTATAATTCTGCAGTGAAAACTTCTTGCTAGTAATAAAGAATATATGCACAGATTCTTTCCTTAAAGACCTCCTACCTAAACAAAACAGTGAAGAGTAGATGGTGACACTTAGTGACCTGAGTGCCTGAAAATTAAAGATATGAATGGGGAGCCTGGCAGTGAAGTGGCCTTGCTTTAAGTATGGCTCCAACGAGGAAGCCAAGTGTATCAGATAGAATAATTATTATTTTGAAGTATTTAAACTGCTCCTTCGGCATAAAAATCATGACAGGCAATCCAGGAAGCTTAAACAGCTGGGGAAAGAGCTGCCCTCGTCTCCCTGCCCCACTTCACTCACTCTGGCTGCCATGGGAACAGCAGTAAAAAGATCTGGAGCTTTTAGCAAATCCACAGAAGTTGTGGATGGGAAGGATCTGGGAAAAAGCTAAGGAGGGTTGACCTGGGAGGCTGGTCATCACACAATTTAGTCTGCTTTGCCCCATCAAGGGCTTCTTTCTCTCCCAGTGGCTAATTCCACTAATTAAACATCTATTAGGATTAATTAACCTCATTCAAATTGTAATTGCCATTCCTAAGCCATCGCTGAGATCACTAAATCAGGGAAAGTAGTTTTCCTATGAAGAGGGAAGGTCAGGGATGTGCAGAGGGTGAGGGTGGGAGACCTCAGAATGGCATGAGGACCAGGGACCTTGGGGAGGGGCAGAGAGAATGAGCTAGTGAAGCAAGGAGTAGAAAAAAATGTGGAGGAAGGCTAAAGTCAAGCCTAGCTGATTTTGAAATTTGGAGAGGGCCAGTTGTGTGCCTACCATTTTCTTTTTAAAGGATTAAAAAAATGCATCTTCTCCTGGTTCTGTGGGAGGCTTCCACTGAGGATCCCAACCTGAAGAACTGATGTTTAAGCTATTCGTCCTGTTCCACGGTTTAGTTAAATTTGGGGTTCGGTGGTATTTGAAGACTGAGCTGAGAACCCAAACTGAAAATTTAGTAGATGCATGTTCAGTCCTAGTGGCATGGATGTGGGTGATTGGAGGGTGCCTGAGGGCTCGCGTCAGAGCCATCTGGGGGATGCGCATGCGTGTGTCACTCGGCTGAAACACTGAGCATCTGACTGCAGATGCAGGACCCACCTCATACCATTGAACCGGTGACCCCAGGGATCGTGACAGTGAAATAACCACACAAAGCTCAACTAGGAGCTAGCCCTATTTCTTTTGCTTCTGCCAGGACCACTAGCATAGTGCTAGGCATCTAGTTGGCATCCCTTGTGCTGTGATTCTGGGTGTGATGTCTGTGCGTGGGAGGAAAGATGTGACATGCGGTGGGTGCTTTGAACCTTGACAATGAAAAGTCCTTACCGAATACAGTGTGGGCTTTTATCAGCGACAACCCTTGATTCTATACCCACTAGCTCATCTGTAATTGGAAACGAAGGGGATGCTGTCAATATAATGGGAAGTTCCTGGGCTCTAAATCAGTTTGCTTTTTCCTGGCAAGGGGAGCCTCCATAGTGAAGGTAGTATTGTGACCTTCAGCTGGAAGGAAAACAACCCCCAGTTCAGCAACTGCACAGGCGGGATCCCCTTCAGCTCTATTTTCAGAAAATCGGAAGGAAGCACCTGCACCCAGGGATCCCTCCCCAGAGAGGTGCACCTCACCCACGGCGCTTGGCAGGGGCGGACGGCAGTTCCTCTTGTGGTAACCTCACCGCAGCAGCCTTTTGCCCTCAGAGCTCACGTCCATCTCTGTGGTCCCTGCGCCAGCCAGCGGCACTCACTCTGTGCATTTTCAGTATTGCCTAAGGCAGCCCCCCGCCAGGAGGCTTGGCCTTCCTGGGCAGTCCAGGCTTTCTCCCGAGGTCCCAGATACTTTTAAAATGTGTGCTGTGATGCCAAAAGCTGCATAGGTTCTGAGGTGTCTGCCTTTAAACTCATCTCTCCCATAAGCCGTGTTATTTTTCATCCCAATTTGTAGACGCGTAGGTTGTGAGGTAGCAGGAGTGCTTGAGTGTTTACTGCCTGGCCTTAGCTTCTAAAGTGATTTTTTTTTTTTAAATTTATTTTTGGCTGCCTTGGGTCTTCGTTGCTGAGCGCGGACTTTCTCTAGTTGCCAGCGAGTGGGGGGCTACACTTCGTTGCGGTGCATGGGCTTCTCATTGCAGTGGCTTCTCCTGTTGCGGAGCTCGGGCTCTAGGTGCATGGGCTTCAGTAGTTGTGGCACGTGGGCTCAGTAGTTGTGGCACGTGGGCTCAGTGGTTGTGGCATGTGGCCTCAGTAGTTGTGGCTAGCAGGCTCTAGAGCATAGGCTCAGTAGTTGTGGAGCATGGGCTCAGTAGTTGTGGTGCATGGGCTTCAGTAGTTGTGGCATGTGGGCTCAGTAGTTGTGGCTCGTGGGCTCTAGAGTACAGGCTCAGTAGTTGTGGTGCATGGGCTTCGTTGCTCCGTGGCATGTGGGATCTTCCTGGACCAGGGTTCAAACCTGTGCTCCCTGCCTTGGCAGGCAGGTTCTTAACCCCTGGACCACTAGGGAAGCCCTGGCCTTAGCCTCTATTAATAAACATGCCTCTGTGGGCTGTGTGGCCCCTGCCCTTGTGGGGCAGGAAGGCTGATGGCCTTTGTGATTGCAGGGGCTCCAGGAGAGAGGACTGCACCGAGCACCTTGCCTGCAGACACAGCTTTCCCACCAGTAACCACTCTCAGCCCTGCACACAGCAGTCTTGCTGCCTCACCTGCACACATCTCCAACTCGACCACCCAAGACAATGCCTCAGGTTTGACCATGATGCTCTAGGTGTTTTAGGTTCTGGATGATGAAATGGAAACTGGAAAACTGTCATGTGGCTCTTTTATTTCACACCAAATATGACTGTGGGTTTGCTGTTTTACAAATTTTCACACAGTGATACTAAATTAGGAAAAAAAAAAATAACCTTACCAGTAAGCTTTCTATGGGCATATTTTATTTTATTATTTATATATTATAAAAGTTCATGGTGAAGAAGAAAGATAACAAACTTTAATGTCCTATAGCCCTGAGATCAAATACAGCCTCTTCAACTTTCTAGCTGACTTTAGGACAAGTTACTTAGACTTTCTGTGTGTCAATTTTTCTTTCTGTAAAAATGGGTATAATAATACTCATTTCATAGGATTGATAGGAAGACGGAATATGTAAAAAGTCTGGTATGAACTGAATAGCACAAAAGGGTAATGGGTATCCTTGTTAGTAATTAAAATAAGGATAGTTGTAACAGGATGAGAGGTAGTTTGAGGAAGACTGCACATGTCAGAATTATACTAAGGAATGAATAGTTTCTTTTCAACGTATACAATGTCTAGTTCCAATTGTTTGCACTCTTAGTCATCTTAAAGGGCCACGTGTAGACAAATCTTTGACTCACTTTCTTATTTTAAAAACAAGCAAGTGTCAATTCAAACGAGGAGAAAGCCTCTAGCAAAGATTCAGTTAAGAAATCATCTTTGCTAAAGAGTTTTCCCCTCGACCCTCGATATGACAAACTCATTAACTGTGACCCTCTGTTCATTTCCTTGCAGATGTGCTCAATGCGTCCACTACACCATCCTCTCTGACCCCTGCAAAAGGCATTATCTCTACAACTGATCTCACAACAACAGGTGACAACCTGACCCCCAGTCATGCAGTCACACCACCACCATGTGCTTTGGACATGCTCATTGAAGGGTCTCCCGTTGACTCCACCCTGGGTTCTTCCTTCGAGAAGTTCAATTGAGTGTTCTAATCCTGAGGGCTGTGGAAGGGCAGTTAGTCCAAAACACGGATCAGTTTCCGCAGTGCAACAGCCGATGAGATCAGGGCCGGTGACTGTGATAACCTCTTACATCATGGTCGTAGCATCCTCCAAGAATTGTGTACTCTATGAAAACTCATAGAAATGACCAGCTATACTAGGACTTCTAAGAGTGGGTTTCGGTGTTGGTATGAAAAAGAACAATTCTCTCAGTGGTGCTCTCTGTTCCAAGAGGTCAGTGGCAGAGGAGTGATTGCAGAGCTCCAGAAACACACGTGGAATGTGGAGACGGAGGTGGGGGGCTCCATGCAGGGAACGAACGTCCAGGGGGTGGTAGAGCCTGCAATGGGTCAGCCATTCAGAGCCTGCCAGAACACTATTCTCCCTGCAAGTTCTCCATCTCAAAGACCAGATTAGCAGAGATCTCTTAGCTTCCACAAACCCCATTTCCATCCAATTCTTCAGTTAAATACATATGCTCACACAAGATAGTTCTCAGTTGGTGGACGGAACGATGTGTTACCCTGGATTTAGTTTATGGGCAAAGAGTTTACAAAAGTTAAACCAGACAATGAAGCAGCCCTTTGCCTATTTTCTGATTTTTTTTTTTTAATAAACAAAGGAGTAAACTGAACTTTCTAGGGATTATAATTATATAAACCTATTTTGAGATTAATCAAAGGGAGGAAGACTTTTATAATACTTCTGGCTGCTTAAATAGTCAACCACGTCACCATTCCATAATCAGATGTGTGCCCAAAAGTCTTAATATTGTATTATCACTGTTGTGTTTATTGGGTGAATTCATGAAAACGTTTTATAGGACTAGCTTGTTGGTTTACAACCTTTGAAGTTTTGAGATGCAAACATGGGAACAGGCACTGCAAACCCTGCATCATCTGTTAAACCTAACTCAGTAGATTCTATAGTTTATGAAGACGGAACATTGTAAACCACCCTTCCTCAGAATGACTAGAGCAGAGATATTCTAAAATGCAATTTTAATAATTTGCATTTTCTTTTTTTTCTATTACAGGTCCTACTTCTACACATAATCCATCATGTGGTAAGTTTGTCTACCTAGAGGCAACATATATCACTTTAATGATTTCCTTCTTTATTACAAGCTTTCAAGACCCCCCAGCAGGCTAAACTCACTGGCTCTAATTTCTCACCATTGATTAGCTCCAACTATTAAGAGCCAGGGTCCTTCAGGGCAAGAAGCTTTGATGTCATATTCAGACCTAGTTTTGAGCATTAGGATTGATAATTACTAGCTAAACAACCTTGGTGGAGCCACTTAACTTCAGTTTGCGTATTTGTAAAGTGGGATGACAGCAAGTTTGTTTAGCGGTTGGGAGAGGATTCTGTGTAATGATAAATATGAAATGTGAATAATACCTTCAAGGCTCATCAAGAAGAAAAAGTCTCTCTGTCTCGCCAGGGTTAGGCTCAAAGCAGATGCTTGAGAACAGTTTGTATCCATCCTTTACCCATTTTCTTCCTCTGTTCTCAGTGGAAGCAGAGGCCTTCTTTGTGGCCAGGGCTCATCCCTCCACATGTTTCTAAATCTCACCGCTGGAGTCCCGACCTTCAGCGGCTCTCTGTATATTTAGTGCAGACATCAGCCTTTGTATGTTTGATTAATGAATATGATCTTGATGACCAGGTTCCTCTTGCACTGTTGCCTCCTTACACTTTTCACTTAAGTAAATGTGGAAGTGCTCAGTTTCTTAAAACATGTTTCTTCCTGCCCCTGTGTTCACCCCTGTTCTTCCTCTACACTTGGAATGCATCCTCATCCGCCACCCCCCCCCATCAATTTTTCTATGTCCTGCTCATATTTTAAATGCAAACTGACTCACGTCTCTGGAGGGCCCCTCCTCGTCCTGCAATCTGAACAGACTTCTCTGCGTCTTTACCCCTGTATTATTTTGTGCATCATCTTATTTTGGTGTTTTCTGTAATTCATGCTTGTGCCTGTCTGCACGTTAGATTCTATAGTTCCAAAAGCGGATCATTTGTATTCCTAGTGCTTGGGACAGTGTCTTAAGCAAAATAAAGGCTTCATAATTTTTTTGTACTAAAGATGAGTGAATAAGTGAATGTGTGTTAAAAAGATATTTTTACGAGTCAATGGAGTCTGTTTAAATAAAGGGAAGAGTGTGAGATGACACTCAGGGAAAGTGCTTAGGAGGAGTTGTATCAATAATTTTACACGAGTAGAGGAATAACGAGGCCTCTGCTCCCTAAGTAATTAATGTTCCCTGTATCGAGAGAAAGAGATAATCAAATACTACACTTTAGAAAGCAAAGGAAATGATAGAGCAAGAAGAAGAAATTTGTCAGATGCGTTGTTCATTTCTGTGTAATTCAACCGTTTTTGAGCCCTTTCTGATGACAGGTTTTACACAAGGATCTGGATTTATGGCAATGGTCAAAATTGATGGGATTTTTCTCTCATGGAATTTACAGTCCAGTTAGGAAGACAGACATTAATCCAATTATCATCCAAATACAAACTCACAAGCTGAGGTCTTTGATGGGACAGTGATGAAAAGGGAATCACGAAAGAATAACATGGAGGCACTGATATGTCCCTTCTCTTTTTTATGTTCCTGGGGTTATTTTGTTGGAGATTGGATATTTTTAAAACTATACATGAAGGAGTTTGTATTTAATAGAGGTTTATTCATTCTGAAATATAAAAGATAAGCTTCACTATTTTATTTTCTTTCAGGAGACAAATATGCAGGTATCTCTGTGGACTACTTTTATGACAAGGAAAGTGAAACGTATAATGCAACACTTAGTGAAGCGAACAATGAAACTCTTGGGTGTGTAAAGTGGGTCCATGTCCTACAGGAATGTGAAAAGAAGAATATCAATATATCATGTCTTTCATGTTACCCTCCATTTAAATATTTATTAGAGGCACCACCAGGTAAATATCAGTTGATTTCTGTTCGTGCATTTACAGCAACACTGCAGTTTTGTGTGTGACGTGTCCTACTGGTCACAGGAGTTAGTAGGCAGGGGAACAGTGCTGAGGGAAAGATGGTGGCAGGAGGCCAGTGTGTGGACTTCTGCTCTCCACACCCAGTGAAAATGGTAACCTCAGAGAAGCCTTCCCTGTTTATCCCTTACCTGCCTCCTTACGCCTCTTTTACAGAGTGCTTCATGTGGATTGGATCTAATTTATCCCACTGAGTGGTTATTCACAAGCTTTCTTTTTTCTCCGCTACTGAATTCAAGTCATTATATATATGTGTGTGTGTGTGTGTGTGTGTGTGTGTGTGTGTGTGTATATATTAATCCTTTTAAATACAAGTGTGTCTAGAATATCTTGGGGGAATAACACAAAGTCAAAGATTTGATGTTTGTGGAAAGAACAAAAGTAATTTCACCAAAAAAAAAAAAAAAAAAAGCCTGCGGTGCCATTCCTGAAAATCTCTAGTCTATTACAATGGGGAGAGCCCCTGAGTAAAAATAGTCTGGGTGATAAATCACAGAAGGTTGCATTTATCAAGGCAGCCGAAAGCTGATAAGTGCAATTATGGGTTTGTCACCCTCGGGAAATATCTTGATCAAGGCTCCTCAAACCCAGTACAAACCCTCAAATTTTTGCCCAAAGACGGCTGTACCTAATTTGGGGACTTAGCACATCTTATCCTTAGGGTATTGAAGGCCTTCTGGCAGGGCCTTATCCAATATCCAGAGTAATGAAACCTTATTCTAGTGAGATCTATTAATGGCGTAATGATGGAATACCTCTACCACCAAGTGGCAGCAGTCTTCACACATCATAAGTGAAAAGAAACAAAACCAAAAACCAAACTTGAGTCCTGTCTTCTCCTATTCCTATGTGCTATAGAACTTTACATAAGTGGATGAGGGCAGACTAGTTGTATCTCACCATTCAGGGAGGTGTCTATGATTTTGGATGATTTTTTTAATGCTATAAAACTAGAATTTTTAAAGCAATATCATCACAATTCAAAAAAGTATAAACAGGGCTTCCCTGGTGGCACAGTGGTTGAGAGTCCGCCTGCCGATGCAGGGGACACGGGTTCGTGCCCCAGTCCGGGCAGATCCCACATGCCGTGGAGCAGCTGGGCCCGTGACCCATGGCCGCTGAGCCTGCGCGTCCGGAGCCTGTGCTCCGCAGCGGGAGAGGCCGCAGCGGTGAGAGGCCCGCATACCACAAAAAAAATAAATATCCTTCAAAAAGAGATATACCCCAATATTCATGGCAGCTTTGACAACAGCCAAGATACGGAAGCCCAAAAG